TGGGAGAAAGGGGGAACTGAACTGGCTGGACCGGTTTGTGTGGGGCCTGTTTGGTTTGGAGATCAATCCATGAGCTGCCCTGAACCCCCATTTTTAGGTTTGTGCCCCTCCCTAATACTGAACAAGGCTTACACATAGATATACAAAGAGAAATCCCATTATTGTGCAGTCATGTTTAACTCTGTTCAGTGTAGTTCATTCCACATGTCTTCATGTACCTGCCATTTTACTCCCAACATGCATCAGCTATGGTATGATCTTTCCCCACAAGGTTAATGATATGATAAACTAACAAAGCTCCCAGTTCCTGCCCTGATTCTTTCTGTCTTCGTCTACAATCCTTCTGTCAGACACCTGAGATTACCAGAACTCATGGTCATAGCAGTAAACATCTGCCTCAGGTGATGGAGGTTCTCTGGCATCTGCAGCTAAGCAGTCTCAGGTAGCAGGTGCTGGGAAAGACCTTTCATTGTCTGAGACACTGGAGAGGCCCTGCCAGTCAGGATAGACAGGACCGAACTAAGATGGGCCGGTGGTCAGAGAGTATAAGGCATATATATGTGAAAGTATACGGAAAGCACAAACTTTTGCAAGTGAGGACTGTAGGTCAGTGACAGAGCACTTGCTTTGTATGCAGAAGGATCAGGTAGTAGGTGATGTGAAAAGCTTCTGCCCTATGGAGGTACCACCAGTCACAGTAGACAATGCTGAGCTAGAACAGCATTTCTTCAGATGGCTTTCTGGAGCCCAAGGGCTCCACAAGGATATTCAGTGGAGTCCATGAGTCCTTTGTGAGGACAGAGGGCGAGTCCCTCTCATACCCACCCAGATCACTTGAAAATGGAGCCTTCTCAGTCTTCTAGAAATAGAGGTAAGATATCTTGGAAAGCAGATAAAGTCGGTTTGTCCCTCTTCTGAAGGCTTGCCATAGACTTTGAAAGGCAGCAGTCCAGTGCATGGTGGCTTCTGGTGAAGAAAGAGGGAAAAGGCTTCGGTGTATGTGTGTGAGTGTGCGTTTGTGTGTGTATGTCTTTGAAGAACTTAAAATTGAGATGGGGAGGGTGTCGCTGCATTGCTAAAGATTGAGATCTGTGGGTCTAGATGGACCAGTTTTCTGATTTGGCATAGGGAAGTTTCACATGTATACGAGGTACATGAAATTGGTAATGGTTCAAAATTAAAATATGCTGCCTTTGTACTTCCAATTGCAGAAGACTAATATTGTCTATAATATGGGGTTCAATGTGGCCAAGTGCAAGGTGATGCACATTGGAGCCAAAAATCCTAACTATAAATACACGTTGATGGGGTCTGAACTGGCAGAGACTGATCAAGAGAGAGATCTTGGAGTTGTAGTAGATAACTCACTGAAAATGTCGAGACAGTGTGTGACTGCAATAAAGAAGGCCAATGCTATGATGGGGATTATTAGGAAGGGTATTGAAAACAGATCAGCCAATATCATAATGCCCCTATTTAAAAATCAATGGTGCGA